GGTGGGCCGACGCAGGGCCTACTCCGCCCGCCGCTGCCTCGCTCGCTCGGCGCCCAAATCTGTCATCCTAACATAATATGAGTGTTTGTTGTATATGTTTCACATATAGTTCTCCAAGGACAAACTTGACAAAAATTAAGTTGCTCTAAAATGGGCTGGGCCGTCTGAGGAGGAAGTGAGTTCTCTGCCAGTCAAGTTATACGTAGAATACAGATGAACATCTGTGGACTATATTGAAATTGCTGTCCAGGGACCAGCAGGTGGTGTGGTGGTTAAGGCCCTGGATCACCACATGGCCAACTGCGGTTCTAGTCCTGGACCTGGTGGCTTTGAGATCATCCTCGCTAGTCCTGGACCTGGTGGCTTGAAGATCATGCTGGATGCGTGTGAGTGTATGCCCAGAATTCTGAGAGGAGAATGGAAGGGAAGAGATTGCAGCATGGCCATCTCCCCTAGGGGGTGCTTTCTCACTTTCCCCTCTCGTCTCTAGCAAAAACCTAAAAGAGAAAAAAAAGTGCTGTCCAGTCTAGCTTTTATGATTCTGTTACTTTGATTCCACAGTACTGGAACCTAGGAGAGAGAAAAAGAGGGGAAAAAATTTCCTGCTTTCTAATTAGCCATAAACAAGGAAGATAAACAGATGAGAAGTAAAGATAGCAGAAAAGGCGGAGGTAGAGGCAATGGTTGCAGTGATTAGGGAAGGGAAGATATGTATATATAAACAATGTATAGCTATTGGTTATGAATAAATTGTTATAGGAGTTACTGCAATTGCGCAAATATAGATCGTGAGATGTTTTGCTGTTGAAAGTGATTTGGGCTGGCAGGTGGTGTGGTGTTTAAGACACTGGACTCCTAGCCAACCGTAGTTCAAGTCCTGGACCTGGTAATTTGCATTCTCACTTTCCCTCTCTCTGTCTTTATCTTTGTCTCTTTCTGATCAAATTAAAAAATAATACTAAAAGTGACTGTTCAATAGATAGATACAATTGGATTACTTTTCACAGACCTCCCTCCCTTCCTTAAACATTCTCACATATGTATGGGTCCTTAAAATAAGTTTACTATTATTCTTAGTCCACTTGTTTACTTGATTTAAAACAAAAAAACAGGCCTATACGCAATGGTGCTCACTGGTAGATGCTGCTACTCAGCAGGCTAAGGCCACATGGGAGACCCACTTTCTATTCTCAGCCCACCCTAAAAAGCTAAGTGCAGTGAGTGGCATATGCCATAGGATCCTTTGTCTTTTCCTATCAAAGAAAGAAAATTCAGGTGGTGTGTAGTGCTAAGATGCTGTGCAGCATAGGTTGGGTCCACATGGGAGGGTTAGTGTGATTCCTGGTCTAACCTAATAGCCAGGCATGGTAGCACATGTCTGTAATCCAGCTACTCAGAAGGCTGAAGCAGGAGGATCATAACATAGAAAGACCCCTCTCTTTAAAAATGGAAAAAAAAGGTCAGATTCACTGAAAAAGGTAAAAGATAAAAATATTGATTTAATTTTTTTAGTTTTAAAATTGAGACATAATTTACATAGCAAAATATTTACCCTTTTAAAAAATAGTTTATTTTTTCTATGAAAGAGAGACAGAGAGACAGAATCTCCAACTGATGCACCTCCAATTGATGTCATAATTCACCTCCAGCCTTCAGTTAGCCCTGGATTATGGGCAGATGTGTATTCATACTCAAGGACGTCTCTAGATTTGAACTGCGAACGTTTCCACATGAGATTGCCTGGTAGAGCATCATGTTCTACTATTGTGCCACCATCTGGTCTCTTTTTAAAGTGTATAATTTGTTTTAGCATATAAAATAAACACTTTAGTATAAACTGTTTTTAGTATAGTCAAAGAGCTGTGCAATCATTATAACAATGCATTTTTCAGCATTTGTATTAGCCTATGAATACCATACCCATAAGCCATCATACTCCAGTCCTCTATTTCCCTCTCCATTGGTCCTGACAAGCATTCATCTGTTTTCTGTCTCTTTAGATTTGACTATTCTGGACATTTAATATAAGTGGAATAACATGATGTGTGGTGTTTTGTGACTAGCTTCTTTCATTTAGCATGATGTTAAGGTTCATCCATATTATAGTACGTGTCAGTACTTAATTCCTTTTTATGGTTGAATAATATTCCATTGTATGATTGTACCATGTCTTTATTTAGTTTTCACTTGATAGACATTTGGGCTGTTTCTACTCTTTGACTATTATGAATAATACTACTATGAGCATTCAAATACATGTGTTTGTGTACACATATGTTTTAGTTTCTCTTGGATTTATAAGCCAGACTGTTTTCTAAAGTGGCTGCATCATTTCACATCCCTGCCAGTAATGTGTGAGAGTTCCAATTTGTCCACATCCTTGTCAGTATTTGTTACTGTCATCTTTTTTATTCTAATAGTCTTGGTGATAGTGAAGTGATATCCCATTATTTTTTTTTAATTTGCTCCAGAATATGTGTGCTCACTAGAGAGAAAGATAGAGACAGAGAGAAAACAAGAGGAAGAGGGAGAAAGCACTCCCTATTGTGGCATGGTCATGATGCAATTTCTTCTCCTCCATCTTTTCCTTTCGGGATTTTGGGCATGGAAGAACATGGACCTGTTATGTTTTGCAAGCCACCAGGGCCAGGATTCAAAACATGTGGTCAGCCATGTGAGACTAGCTCCCTTAACCACTAAGCCATGGGGCTAGCCCCATTTTGGTTTTGATTGGCATTTCTCTAATAAGTAATGAGGTTAATCATCTGTTCATGCATTTATTGGACATTTGTATATTTTCATGAGAGAAATGTCTGTTTTGATCCTTTGCCCATTTGTAATTGGGTTGTCTTTTTATCATTGAGCATTGAGTTGCTTATATACCTGGGTTTAGAGCTCTCTCTCTCTTTTTTTTTTTTTTTTTTTTTAGGGGTTTTTGTTATAGGGCATTTGGTCCCGCCAGAATAGGGCATTTGCTCCCGCCAGAAAGACAGAGAGACAGAGAGACAGAAAGTGAGAAATTACCCCCCAGAGGGATGGCCACGCCATAATCCCTTCTCCATTATCCTCTTGGGATCTTGGGCATATACACACATGTGCCTGGCATGAGTTTAAGCTGCCGGGTCCGGGACTTGAAAAGCAATTGTCTACATGGGAGTCCAGCAACATAGCCATTACGCCAACTGCTGGTCCCTGGGTTTACATCTCTTACCAGATAAATGATTTATAAGTATTCCCACCTATTGTGCAGGTTGACTTTTCACTTGCTGTTGCATTTTGAGGCACAGTGATTTCCAACTTGGTTTTTTAATCTCAAGGGTTTCTTTATATGTTCTAAGAGTTAACATGAGTTTCAAATGAATGAAAAATCATTTCTCTAAAAAGTGTTATATGTGTGCATATCACAAAATAAAAGATTCCTAACCAAATTAAAGCTTATTAAACATCAAAACAGTGTTCTTGTAAGTGAATGTTTTTAACTCCACTAAGTGATTTTTGGTGTCTCAAATACAGGTAAGTATATTTCTGTTTTTTGTTTTTTTTTTTTTTTTCAAATTCAACAATTTTATT